CCCAGTACCCCGACGGCGTCGACACCGTCTCGCTGAAACACAAGAAGATCTCCGCTCAGGGCGAAGGCGACGAGGCACAAAAAGTCGTGGTGGGAAAGAGACTCGTCGTCGACGGCGATCAGTCGGATGAGGATTCCAAAGCCATCGCCTGGGCGGGGAGGAAGAGGACATGGAGGCTGCTGGACGCTAGGGTCGACGAGAGCGGGGAGATCTGGCAGGCCTACGTCAAGCGAAAGGACGGCGGGAACCAGTTTGAGGAAGCGCGGGCTCCTGGTGACAGGATACATGCCGAGGAGGAGAGGACAGACAAGGACTCTATTGTAATTCTGATATGGAAGCCCTAAACGAGGATGAACGTCCTCACGGGGTGTGGTTCCACAGGAGAAAACGGACTTTGACGTGGGATTTTGTGTGTGAATTTTGGAGCTTGGGAGTTGGTTGATACAACACACCTGTGTTTTGGAGATATATTGGCATTTTCGAAGATAGACACTAGCATTTTGAGTATATAATCCCCTGGAAAATTGTGTCGTGTTGCATTCTGGTTGCCTTGTACTCATCGAACACATGGCATTAAGACTGGGCGAGTTTTGAGTGTGTGTCCGGGGCTGTGGTCGCGGGACACAAGGCAGTTGTCAGTCCCAGTATCACGGTACCTTTCTCTTCTTCTCTTCACGCTGGCTGACATCTGAATAGGGTCATGACCACGTTGACCAAAGCCACCCTCTCCCCTGAATATGCCAGATGGTAATGAATCCTGTGAATTCTTCTATTTCATACAATCGCTATGGTAGCCCCCCAAGCAAAAAGCACTTGATGGGTATGATGATGGACTGATCTCGCAATGCACCTCCTAGTCCAGATATGAGTAATAACAGGAAGAATACCACTAGTGTGCCCTCCAAATCTATCCCGTGGAACTGCTTTTTTTCCTCTCAAATAAAGTCCCTGCCAATGTCATTCTCCACAAACACATCCTCCGTCCACGCCAATCCGCCCCAAAGCTCAGTCCAACCTGCCAACATGAGTGCAATCAGTGACGGACAACCTTGAGCGGCGCAAGCTTCCTACCCAACACTCTCTAACCATTGTAGTGGAACCTGGTGGCCTCCAATTGTCCCAGACCCTCCCTGGGCGCAACGTATCTTCTCCGGTACGTGTTTGTGAAGTCCTGAAGCAAGGTGCGTACCTGCCTCAGGCTACCGGAGTCTTGGGGATTGAGCTTCTCACGGATCTTGCTTATGAGACGGTTGGCCTCGGCAGGCGTGACGGTACCTTCCGGCAACATACGGAGGGTGCGCTCGACCCATTCCGTGGTCTGCTGGGGGAGGATCTCGAACATGCCCAGCAACACACCACTGCCGTCAGCAAAGCAGTCCCTTGGGAAGGTGATCATCATACCGGCCATTATCCGGTTGACGAGCACCTCTCCCTGGGCCATGAGCAGCTGCTTCACCAACTGGCGGATGTGGTCACTAGCCGGTCCGAGGGCATCGTTGCCGCCGACCCAGTGGTCGCTGCCGTAGTTGATCAGGTCCCGGATGTAATGCAGGGTTGCCGAAAGGGGATCGCGCTGCTCCAAGGCCAGAGCAGACACGGCCGCTTGGAAGATGGGACTGAAGAGGTTAGATGGGACGAGCTTGTGTGGGTAATACAGGAGAGCGTCGATGAGCAGCCGGAAGAAATCCTCAATGACGTCCGGGAGTTCCTGTGGGGGAAGGTCATTCATGATACGGAGAACCGTCGTCGCTTGCGTCTCGAAGAACAAGTATATGTTCTCGGTCGTGCTGTCATCCACATGCTCTCGATCCTCCGAAAACTCGCGGAGGACCGCGCCGGTGACCCAGAGGAAGCAGCCTTGTCTGGACTTGGTGAAGCCATCAGCCAGTTTTCCAGCCATGGGTCCCAGTAGAGGTGCCATGGCTGTCCTATAGGAGATCAGCATCGTGCGCCAGCAGCGGCACACACGCTCACAAATGGGCACAAAGCCGATAAACGTGTCCAACACAGTGGACATGACCGGAAACACCTCCTGCCAGTATTTGACAGCCGGGTTCTCTTGGCCGTCATGGATATAGGGCACCACGTATTGGGCAAAGATCTTGAACAGTTGAAGGTGGTCAGCCACTGCAAGCTTGCCCTCCTCCGTGGTAGCACTGTTAGCCTTGAGCTTCAGTCTCTCCACAAGAGGGTCGCAGTACAGCTTCAAGAGATTGTAGATGTCCTCCGTCTTCTGTACCCCGACCACATTCGCGACACCCTCCGTGATCTCCTCTTGACTCAGCTCTGGCAGCTTGTCGAGGATCTGGTTGTAGAAGGATTGCAGCTGTAAGACTTGAGGTCCAAGCAGATGCTTGCAGTCTGTGCAGAAAAACTTGATTGCTTGTGCCGCGGCACGAACAATCTCCTTGGACTCGGCGTCAAAAGACGAGACGATATATGTGAACTGAGCCTCGAGGAACTCGGGGTGGACGGCAGTCCATTCCGTATAGCGGCCAATGACCATGATGGCAGCAAACCGGAGCTTCTCATGGCTCGGAATCTGCACCAAAAGGGGCATTAATTGGGGCAAAACAACGCTCTCCTCTTTATCCACCATTCGGCCCATTGCTCGCATGGAGAACAAGGGGGCCTCCAATTCTTGCCAATGCGGCACTGACGTCTGGGTGGCCTGGGTTGAGTACTTGTGTATCCAGTGCTGGATAGCCTGGAGGACCTTGGATAGACACTGAGCCGTGCCCATAACCTCGCAACAGTCCTTGAGTGTGTCGCCCATGTGGTGCCTGAATTCCCTGAACTTCTCTTCTGCTTCTCGGTCACCATCAAAGAGATCAAGCTCGTTGGCCGACTCAGACTGGGGATATTCAAGGAGCTTCATCAGCACATCGACCAGCTTGGAGTAAACATCCACCAGTTGCACCTTGGAGTGGGCATAGCGGTCCAAGACGATCAGCTGCTTCAGTTCGTACCAGAAGTTGAAAGTGTACTCGATCGCATTGCGTCCTGTATCCCTGGCCGCACATTCGAGTAACGCATCCACAAGCGGCCGGAAGTGTTGGGGCTCTCGTGCTATCAGCACTACCCAAGAGTCACCTGCATCGGCGAAGAGCCGGGTAAGTGCTCGGAGCGTGTCTTTGTCGTCATCCTCATCCTCTGCTGCAGCCTGAATCTTGGATCGCTGTTCTACCACGCGGGGAAGAAGAATCTGGATGGTCTCAATATTGTCATCCACGTCGCTCGTCTCCCGACACATGGAGCCCAAGCACTCTGCTGCTGCTTGGAGCGAGTGCTCATGTGACAGGCCGTTGACGATAACATTCAGTAGTGGTGATTTGGCGATAGCAGCGACGGGGACCTCTCGGAGCCATGACGTGATGCACTCAAAGAGTTGAGTATTTGTGGCTGCCTCGGCTGCGGTGCGTGTTAGTGCCTGTCCCTATGAAGAACAGAATGCAGGGCAGACATACCTGAAGACTGTGCGTAGTTTATGAGAAGTTGCACCACCTGCTCGGCATTGTCGCTAAGCAACTCCGTAGTTCTCTGTGCAAGTTCTTCTTCCTGTCATGCGCGTATTAGATTATGATAGTTCCACCATTTCCATCAAGCTACCGCTCCATGTACAATACGCAAGATGCTAGGCGACGGCTAAATGTTCGCGAGTGTCGGTCCACGTACAGATAAGTTGATCTTTCGGCCTTCCGTAACCTCTTCGGGCAGAACTCGCAGGAAGTCCAATATGCAGGCATGGCTCTCCTTGTCGTTGCCTAGAGCCGTGACCACGGAGGACAATACATCGTTCCATGTGCGCATCTGAATGGCCAAGACCGCCAGGCACACACAGAGCTGTATCCTCACAGGTTTGTTCGCTGTTGCATATTTCTTCAAGAGGACCAATATCTGGCTTCGGAGAGCTGGGAGGTCTGATTCCGGTACTTGTGTCGCAAGGTCGTACGTCAACTGTTGTAGCCGTAGGCGTCAGTGTTTGTCTTGCTCTCATCGTATTTCGCAGAAAATGCCCGTCGGTAAGAAGTAGTCGTACCTTCCCCTTCAATGTGGTAGCAGCAAAGACTTGAGCTTCGCCATCGGATGAGTTCTCGAGGATGCCCAGCGTTATTGGCCAGGCTTCTTTCTGTTAAGATAGAATGTCAGAGACATCCATAGGTTGCAATAGTCCTGTCGTTTGGACGCGTAGGAGCGGATGGCATCTCAAGACATACCGACTTCTGGAAGCGTTGGAGGTAGTCCATGGCTGCCTTTTTCTGCGAGGTATCCCCGCTGCGCATGGTGGCCATGGCCTGGAGAACCACGTCTGGTGACATGACTTCAGGGGAAGCCATCGTGGGAGTTGAACTGCACCAGCAGTGGAAAGGCTTGCAAGGTTGAAGATAGCTGGCGTGCCAGGTCGGTTCGTGGAAGGAATGCAAGGTAAGGGTGGCCTGGTGGGGGAAGATGCAGCCCAAAATGCTCGTGACAGTGCCCCTCAACGACAACCCGTTTGCCGGTTATTCAGAACCTCCAAAGCAAGCTACACACAAGCTAAAGTGATCGGCAAACTGGAAATAGAATCGATTGTTTCGTGTAGGAAAGTACCCGCAGACGAAACTGTTGTGCTGGAGAAAGCGCTAAGTTGATCTGAACGGGATGATGTGAAAGGAGGTACCGCAACCAACATGACCAAAGAAAATAAAACGTCAGTCAAAGCCGTTGCTGCCACAACACACAATGAGCAAGCCTCCCCGCCATGAGAGGTGGTCAGTGCTTGGAGCATCCCAGAAGATCGGAGTGCCCCACTTGTCGCTCTGCCTCAGGTACCTGGCTAGAAGTACCCATTCAGGAACTCCATTACTTGAAGCAGGGAGTTTATGTCTATAACGGATCAGAGACTACCCAGTATGTGGTTACATATGTGACTTGACAAAAGGTCGAACTCACAGCGAAGTCTGAGCCAAAAAAAAAAAAAAAAAAAAGTATGGGAAAAGGCAACATGGAGGAAAAATAAGCGACCACGGGGCGACTCGAACGCCCAACCTCTAGAGCCGAAATCTAGCGCGCTACCATTGCGCCACGAGGCCACCTTACTGGTTGTTGACAAATGCTCAACTCTTTTGCCCTATATTCGAGAATGTCGGAACCTGATTCTGCGGCTTGACTTATCCCATGTCACATATGTGTGTGTGTGGTTACTTTCAGGCACTATGTATTACGACTAGCGAGCTGATCGAGTATCAGCAATGGCTTGATATATCAGGTCCAACTTTGTAAGTCAGCAAGAGACTGAAACCTGACGTGGTGAAAGTCCTGCTGCCATCTCGATGTATCCTCTATTCCACGTGCAACCATACGAGGAAGTAGTCACTCATCTGTCCCGTAAGAACTACATAGACATCTGGATTTAAAACGGATTTAGTGCCCATGACGAGGTACAAAATAGGTGGCTCCTGTCTGGCCATAAGGAGCACATAGTTACTCCGACCAGCTACAGTTGACTGCCCGGTCTGCGCACTTATTGTCAAAGTGCCCAAGTAGCCATTGCATAGGGCCACTGAGAGAACACCTTCGACCTCTCCTGCAGAGTGGTAGTATTTCCACGTCGCGATCCCTCGCGTCCTTCACCAAACTGCTCGCCTCCTACTCTACATGAATATCCTCATCACCTCCCCAAAAGGATCACCCCCCCAAAAGGATCACCCCCCAAAAAAGGATCACCCCCCCAAAAGGATCACCTCACTCAGAATGTCTCTACTCAATACGTAGCTGTTCTCTCTGTGATCGAGCTTTGGGTGATAGTGTCGATTTTGTGTTGAACTGACAATACCTTCGCTTCTAGTCTGTAGGATGTATTACCACCTGGCCGTCGCCGAGTATGAGTCCGTCGATGCGTTGATCGTATGGTCCCATAGGTATCGACCCTTCGGCCGGTGACCTCAGCAATTGCTCCGAGAGCCCCAGTGCATAGAGGTTGACAATGTGTCCCTCGACCCCCAAGTCTTTTGCCTTGGCCTTGAGCCTGTTGATAAAATAGTCGTAAAAGCCTTTTCCATGTCCCAGTCGTCGAATGGCACCAGTCTCAGGGGCAATGTCAAACGCTACACCGGGCACCAAAATGAGGTCTAGCAATGCCTTATCCGAATGATGAGCATCCGGCCCTCCGAATATTCTCTGTCGATCATGGACGGTGGCTGGATCAATACTGGGGATGCCCCATCGATCGGGCTGCAGAGATTCATAGTCTTCTATATCTCTCAGTCGAACCATGTCCATCACACGAACTGGGAGATCAGGCGATGGCAAGGGGTTCCTATGCAGATATGGAACAAAGACCTCCTTTCCTGACTCAAGAGCGTGCCGTACAATGCCATCCGTTTGAATCTCGCCTGTGGACATGGACAGAAAGATGCTGACACGACGGGCTTCCACATATGGCTTGAATTCTCTCAGCTTGTTGAAAACAACTGAGCCTATGCACGTGTCAGTACATGACTTGGTAGCATATCCGTAGCGGAAGTCCTCGGCGGAAAAGTGCTCAGGAGTAATGACTAGGGAAATATGGATCGCTCATGGTCATACTTTGGGCTTTCACCGACTCTTTTGAAATAGCTCCGAGCCTCTGCTTCATAGCGGAGCGGAGCTGTTGCTTGGCTGCATTCAAGGAGTTCATGGCGAACTCGTCTGTAACCATGTGCATAACGAGCGATGCGCCCAAGTTTGTAGTCTAATTGGACAATATGCAGGACTCGGTAGATGTTGCTAAGAGTGGGAGTCCAATGGCCGTCCTCTGATCGTCTACCTAGTGGTTGCAATGTGTGCGCCTCGTAGCATCCATTACCAGCATAAGTATTGGAAAGAGAGGAGCCCGTGTCAACGTGCAAATCAGGGTCATGCGTAGTAAGGTTGTATCACATAGCGACCCACCTGCATCTTATCACACGGATCAGATACGCCCGCATCAGCTGTTGTGACATGCTGTAGCATCGGGAAACCATGATTACCTGCAGCATGACGGATTAGGAGTCATTCACCGAAACCCTCCAAACAAACGCCTTGCAAGAGCATTGTTACAAGGCGCCTGTTCTCGTCCAAATTCCGCTTTCCTTTGCCGGCTACGGTAGTTCAGTAAAGGTAGGCATTGTATTGTCAACAAGTCTCGGCTTGATATCCTGTTTATCACAATCACGCGAGCATTGGTTTATTGACAAAGTACCTGGACGTGGGAGCGAGCCCGCTCACACCCTGGAACGTCACTTTGCGGGCCACCCCCACCACTTCGTCCCGCCAACCAGAACACCACCTCGGCCAACGCAGGTGTCATCTTCCTAGCCATCTGCCCACCGAGGCGCGCAAGTGCAGCTAATTTACAGCAAAAAGAACCGCAACGGCGCGGGTCCAAGGGTGCAGGGGACTTATATGACGCTTCCTCACCGCAATCCAGATACCCCGTCCACATCCGATTCTTCCTCTCATGCGCCCCTCTGCTCGCAACAGACCCTCCCTATCGGCGCATTGGAGCCTGATCGGCCAAGTGCGGCGCTGTTCACGTCGACCCTAAGACCTGCCGTTCTGGCTCATAGTGTCTCCGATCTTCGCGTCCCTACCGATCCACACCAAGCTCAAGATACCGAGCTTGAGCACTTATCAGGCAGCCGAGCCCTTGACTCTGATGGCTCGAGTGTTGAGCACGGATGGAAGACGGTAGAGGACACAAGCTCCAAATCCGACTCGGACGAAACCTCCGATCCCGATCCGTCCATGCCGAAGTCGAGAAACGCGCCGTCCCTCCGTTCGGGCGCCGGGTTCCGGAACCCCTCATACGGATCCATCACTCCCACCCACGAGCTACGACACCAAGAGTCTCGTGACAGCATTGCCCTCACCTTTACATCGGCCGACCCTTCTAGTGCCAGCACTAGCGACAATGACGAGGACGAGGAGGACGAGGAGCAGGTGACACTGCGCAGGAGGAGGAGGGGTAAGCGGCGCGTGCATGGAAGAAGCAGGCGAGGCTCGGCGCGTCCGTCGGAATCTCTACACTCGGAAGAGCTGGGCAGTACCACGACAGTAGGTCTGGAAGGTCGCTTTGGCATGATCGACACGTCGCTGCCGACTGAGATCTTGTCGGACACAAAAGATGGCAGCGTCGACGGCAGCGAGGATGGAATGCTACAGGACGAGGATGAGAGCGATGAGGATCTGGAGAACCCACCAGACAACTCTCCCTACCCGCAAGTTCGTGCCTCGGTGGCACCGACGGACAACACGACCTTGTCCATCAACACGCCGCGCATGTGGTGTCTGTCCACGCTGTTCTCTATTCTTGGATCGTCAACCAACCTTTTCTTTTCGTTGAGATACCCCAGTGTGTCTATCACGCCTGTTATTGCATTGCTGCTTGTACATCCGCTCGGTCTCTTATGGGACTACTTTTTGAAACGCCCGGACGATCCGTCAGAGGAATATATCGAGGGTTCTCGCATAGGTGCAGTGTCGGCGCTGCCTGGAGGGAAGGGGACTAGGCTCGGTCGACTACGGCTATGGCTCGCACAGGGTCGGTGGAACGAGAAGGAACATAGTTGCGTCTACGTGAGCAGCAATGTGTCCTTCGGATTTGCATTCGCAACGGACGTCATCGTCGAACAGACGCAGTTCTACAAACAAGACGTCGGCATTGTCTACCAGCTACTGCTTACGCTGTCAACCCAAATACTGGGTTACACTTTTGCTGGACTGACACGACGGTTCTTGGTCAGACCGAGCGGCATGATATGGCCGGGGACGTTGATGTCAGCTGCCATGTTCACCACACTGCACAAGGAAGAGAACAAACCGGCTAACGGATGGACTATCAGCCGGTGGAAGTTCTTTTATGCCATATGGCTGGGAGGCTTCATCTTTTACTTCCTGCCTGGTCTTCTGTTCCCAGCCCTGAGCTACTTCAACGTCATCACCTGGTTTGCGCCTGACAATGTAGTGGTTGCCAACCTGTTTGGTGTTGTCTCTGGCCTGGGGCTATTCCCCCTCACCTTTGACTGGGCGCAAATAGCCTACATTGGCTCGCCACTCCTCACCCCTTTCTGGGCTGCGATGAACGTTGTCGGAGGCCTGGTTATTGTTATGTGGATCATTGCGCCCATCGCTTACTATAGCAACTGGCTGTACTCCTCCTACATGCCCATACTATCAGCTGCCGTCTTCGACAATACAGGCCGTGTCTACGATGTCAGCAAGATCCTTACGAAGGATTTCTTGTTCGATAAGGCGGCATACCAAAACTACAGCAGAGTCTTCCTGCCCATCACTTATGTCCTGAGCTACGGTGTACAATTTGCAGGGTTGGCAGCACTGTTAACTCACACGGCATGTTGGCACGGGAGCGATATATGGACGCAATGGAAGAAATCGTTGCAGGAAGCCAGGGAGGAGCCCACTCTCTACCAACCACTTCCGGGAGCGACCACCAATGTCAGACCAACCTCATCAGCCGGTTCTGACGGACAGCGCGTCATGTCACAGTCGCAGGCGAGCATTGACAATATCATGAGCAGAGAGGATGTCCATAACAGGCTGATGCGGAGGTACAAAGATGCACCCATGATGTGGTATCTGATCACCTTCATCTCCATGACAGCCATTGGCATCTTTGTTGTTGAATAGTAGGTCCCTGAACACTTCATACGTCCGCTCCTCCGTACGTTGCTAACATGATGTAGCTATCCCATTCATCTGCCTTGGTACGGCCTGCTCCTCGCTTTGGGGATTTGCAGCATCATGTTTATTCCCATTGGCATCATCATGGCCGTCACCAACCAACACAGCAGCATTTACCTGATCTGCCAGCTCGTCTGCGGCGCCGTCTTTCCCGGTCGACCCGTGGCCAACATGGTCTTTGTGACGTACGGCTACATCTCCTCAGCTCAGGGCATTAAGTTTGCCGCCGATCTCAAATTGGGACACTACATGAAGATCCCGCCTCGCATCCTCTTTTCCGTCCAAATGGTAGCCACCATTGTCTCCTCCGTGACGCAAATTGGCGTCTTGAACTGGATGTTCCGCAACGTCCCGGGCATCTGTACACCCG